GCTCCATTCTGAGCATCTGGCCTGATGACAGAGCAAGTAGCCAAGAAATGGGGATGCCAAGAGTGTCATATCTCAGTGCTGTTTGTATGCTGTGGTACATGTTAGGCTATAAGTACCTTCTAAGACGTTTTTGCAGAGCAGTGGAGGTGTCAGGTTGAGTCTGATGTGGCGAGGCTGAGTCCATGCTACTTGCAAGGACAGAAAGAGGGTAGGTACAGAAATAAATCAGAGCAGAGACTGTGTGAGCTTCAAAATCTATGTTTTGGAGACAGTCAATGGCATGGGACTCAAGTGCAAAATCAGAAATATGGAAGTATATCATGTCTACACAGACAACTGTAAGTCCAGAACACTCCAACAGCTGCAAGGAAAAGTCTTTAGCATAGATCTGTAGTATATCTGAAATTTACATTTGAATTTATAAGAAATGCATTAGATCTAGTGTCTGGATTCCAAAGTTTGTAGGACTCTCCTGATTATATTTTCATGCTTCTTTTCCTTTTTTTTTTTTTTTTCTTAATTAATGACAATATGCCTTCTAACATTATTTTTCTACATCTTCTGTGAAAAACGTGTTTCATGTTGCACTGCTGCATGTCTATCAAAGGAAAAAAGTATGAAACCATAGGAACTAAAGTGACTTTAGTTAAATTAGATATTCAGTTCTGCTTATAGAAATCAGAAAAAAAAAGTAGATGCAACACAATAAAATGCTTATGTGATCCAAAACAGACAAAGATACTAACCCACTCCCACCCATCTTTGGACATATTGAAGGGGTATATTAATATGCATATGATTCAACTTGACTTCTTTCTATTGTATTTCATTCAATTGCATATTCTGTTTCATAAGAATACTATTTATAAGCCCCATATGTGGTCATGCTGGAACCTTAGGTTTTCTTCTTTGGAATACTTGAGAGATGAAAGTAACAAAAAATCCAAGTTTCAAGAATCCAAAATTCATATGCTGCCTTAAAATGGTGTAAATGATATAGCTGTCTGGAAGAATTTAATCAAGCTTGTGCAGCTTGTTGTATCTGGATTGAAACTGTCTTTCAATTAATGCTAAAATCGAGCTCAAATGACACACTTTTTTTTTTTTTCTTCAGTATAGTATTCCTTCAGACATATGACTGAATGAAGAGAAACTTGTAACAATTACTTTTGCAAACTTGATGTACGTATAAGCATACTAAGTTGTACCTACAGTTCAGCAAAATATATAATTTTGACAGTGCAGTTTACAGCTCAAAAAATGTGTTTTCCCTACTTTTGTTGACATTTCAATGTGCATTATTAAGAGATGTGCTGCCTGCAGTCCAACCTTCAGTATTTACCCTTTGCTTTCAGTGTCATCTCATCTGATGTCTAAAAACTTACAAGGAGATTGTTGTTGTTTCCTCTGGGGAAGAACAAATCATAAGACAAGAATTTCAGTATTTGACAGAAAGAGAATAAATGGCTGGGCATATCACAAAAATAACTATTTTTCTTTTGACTAACTGTTTTGTTTGTTTGTTTGTTTGTTTGGTTTGTCTTTGGAGTATTCCCTTCACATTTGTAGTAAGGATTAGAAAATTAGGGACTATTATTATTAATTAATTATCAATAATAATAAGTGCCAGAACTGCCATGAACAACTACTTCATGACCAGGAATTGTCATTACTAGAGAGCTGATGAATTGCAGTGGTGCCACCCACTGCAGCAGCTTTTGCTTTTGCAATCTCTTCCAGAGTCAGAGTGCTCAGGATCTCCCCGGCAGCTCTATGTCTCTGTGTGTCTTTTGTAGGATATATATGACAGAATATTTCATTCCCCTGTTGCCTTGCACACTGCCACTTAATTCTTCACCTGTTCCTCAAATCTTCTTAGATAATCTTGATAGATTAGCCCCACATTCCTGCAGAGCTGTCTGACTTGAGGAATATTTGAAGAGTAAAACAAATGAAGGAAAAGATAACAGGTGGCACTGGTCCTTGGAAGTAGCTAACAAACCCAACAGGTTTTAATAACTAGTTTTTGCATATCAAAGGTTCTTTACATAGTAGGGCTCCTTCATTTCTTTAATGGAAGCCTCTTTCTATATACTCCTTTTAAATTTAGTCAAGAAGTAGTATGCAAAATAATTTGTTGAGGCAGTTACTGAAAGACATGTGAAAGATGTGATCTCAAAATGTTAATATACCTATTATAAAAACCTGCTCAGGGAAATTCATATTTTTCGTGGAAAGTTATGCCATCAAATTAAACCACAGTTTCCTTCAAATAAGAGTAATTTAATCTTTCTCTACAAAACTTGATGGAAATGTTACTTGTGGGTAGGCAATGAGACTGGACAATTAAAGATGTGCAAAATCTGCTCTTCCAGAAGCCTGGAAGAAGGGAATAGTCAACCACCATTTGTTTAAAATATACATTTCTACATATGCATGTGGAGAGATGCTTTCACAGAATTTGTTTGCATCTCTCTAAACATTTATAGCAGAATACCTGTGCAGTCATTCCAGGGACACAGGCACAAAGCAACACTACAATTTCAAATGTCACACTACTCTTCCATAAGGTAAAGCAACAAGGAAAATTCAAAAAGTTGGTGCACAAATGCATAGAAGAAAACAGCCAAAACATGTCCCAGAAAAGATAGGCATCCTGTTCATGTGTTCCAAGAACTGAAAGAGTAGCCATGTTTATTAGATAAACTTTTTTTAGTGAATAATTAACAGATCAGCTTCAAGGTGAAGCTCAAAATAGACAGTTCCTTTGTTTTTTATTGTTGTTACTGAAATATTTTACTGTCTGAAAATGGGTTATACCAGGTAATGCTGGCAGGATTAGGTGGGAGATTCATTCAGTTAATGTGTCACATTACTTTAATTTTTAGATCTAAGTTATACATTTGATAAGTATCTATGATTCATGGGATGACATATAATCCAATGTTTGGTTTATTTTATAATTATGCATACACAAATGTTAAAGGAACATATTTTTTAAGGTCACAGTATTAGTCAGTCAAAAGACTTAAAATACTCCTTCTGTAAATGCATTACTATAAAACTGGGGATTATATACCTTTTGTTTTCTGGGGGCCCTGTCTCTTTTGGCATGAAACGTGGATATGAGCTGAAGCTTGTGAAGTTGCAGAGATCTTAGAGTACATTAAGTAGGACTTCCACATCATGAAAAGTGAGTAGTGACTGCAGCAAAGGCTTCCAAGGGGGAAAAGGACTGGCTGGGGGTTAAATCTACTTTATGCTGTCATGAAAGCTAAATTATAACCTTGCTCCTGAGTTTGAAATTGACACTATGGGATTTACTTACAATAAATTTATCATAGATGGCCCCAACCTATTTTTTCAGTCTGATAAGAATCTGATTCTTATCCCCCTTATTGATCTCCTATCAAGGGACTGAATGCTTAAATCTGGATCTGAAGTGAATGAGAGCTATAAGTGGGTAAATAAAATGTGGCATAGTACTGAATAGGTATAAAAATCAAGTCCTAGACCTCTCTCAAATGAGACATGGAAGCTGTGTGATTTCTTTTATCTGTGCTCCTTTGAATCTCAGAACTCCTGCTTGTCAACTTAAGATAATAGCACGCCTTAGTTGTAATTCTGTGAAAATAAATGTACTAGTATTTTAGAAGCATTCTGTCAAAATAACCATGGCAGAAAAAATGCTGGCAAAATACATGGGTCTGTATTCAGAGCATTACTTGAAGAGAGTACAATAGATAGGACATAATGCCAGACTGAGTAGGAGAAACAGTGGAAAAGTTTTCATCAAATTATGACTTTCTATTCCAGTGCAATGCATGAAACAGGACTCAAAAACAAAACCAGTAAATGACCATGTACACTAAATTATATGCTAAAATAATATGCATGCAGCCATGAAGCAAGCTAAAGTTTCACAGAGCTGGTGTTTCCCCAGCTCCTGATCGTTTTGTTGTAACTCCAATGTGGGTAGATATTCATGAGGATTGCTGCAGAACTGCTTATGCCTGCATTCTTACCAAATACAGTGCCTAAACCACGGGCATTTTAGATCCTGAACAGTTTTGTTGTTGTTTTTTTTTTTTTTAAAGTAATGACCTTGAAAAGGTTATGAGTATATTAAATCAAGTTCTTAAAGCTGGAAAAGAATGGCAGATACAGTAAAAGACAATGTTACTAGCTCAGTCAGGACACAGTGTTGCCACTACAGATGCCCAGACACAGGGCAAGGAAGAGCTATGAAATGGTTATCAAAGCACTTGCAGAATTTTCTACTTTGTTGGTGCTTTTTTACATAACAAGATAAACATAATAGTTAATTCATGCAAGTTCTTGGTACCAGCCTAGCTGCAAACTGTTTTATGTCTCAGTCACAAAGGTGACCCTTCAGACTTTGCTCAGGAAAGACCACCACGTTGTCAAAGATTCAGGCAGCAGGTCAGTAAAAAGGCTCATCTGGCCCAGCTGCTGTACAAGTTTTATCTTACAAGCAGTTTCCCTGCAGTACGATTTATATGCTTAGAAATACGTGAGGAACTACTATGAACTATGTCCTTATCATCTGAGATAGGGCACAGTACTCAGGCGGTCAGATACATTGCAGTACCATGGTATATCACACACCACCCATATTCTGACCCATGACTCTTGTTATGAAAAAAAAAAAAGTGATAAAATACTTCCTTGTGGAGCAGGAGCACTTCAAATAGCCAAAGTTACTTTTTCACCATTAAAGACTGTGAGAGGGAAGGCAGCACATTTTACGACAATTTGCCTTGAGATAAGGTTTAAAAAAAATGTAAAGAGGGTTGTGCATTTATCGAGGGGAAGATTTTTATTTTTTTTTAATGCACTACGGAAAAGTGTCCTGAGGAAGAAGTCCCAGGCTGTGCCCCAAGCACATGCCACTGTCAGTACTGTTGGTAGCACGGAGGGGACACGGGCTGGGGGCAGCAGCGCGGCGTGAGCTGGCTCCATCCCATCCCATCCCGTGCCGTCCCACCGCCCCCAGGGAGGGCCGCCCGCCGCCGTGACCCATCTATATAGGGTCCTCCCGACGTCTGCTTCTCCACCGGAGAGAAGCGTTTTCCCTGCTGCTATGGCCTCAGTACCCTCCGCCGGCTGCCTGCTGGCCAAGAACCAGTACTACCGCAGTAAGTGCTCTGGGGGGTGCGGAGCTGCCCCGCGATCCCCCGGTCTCGGGGATGCTCCGGGGGCTGAGAGACACCCGAGTTGTTGCCGCAGGAGAAAGTTAGGAATTGTTTCGGGAGATTTCTGAATGAGCTGGAGGCAAGAGGGTGTTTTTGCTGTGGTCTTTTTTTTGACTTGCTCGGAGAGTTTTTTTGTTTTTTTTTTTTTTTTTTTTTTTTTTTTTTTTTTTTTTTCTCCTCTGTCCAGGAGCTGCAGTTTTAATGAGTATCTGCTTCTGGTTATTCACCTACTTTTTTTTTTTTTTTTTTTTTTTTTTTTTTTTTTTTCTCTTTAGAATAGCTCATTAGGAATGCATGGTATCAGTCTTCTTACTGTAAAACATGACATTGAAAAAACATTAGGCAAACAAATCTTGGCTTCTAGCTGTATTTCATATTTGTTTTGCAGATTTAGAATGCATTATCAACTCACAGATTTGTTTCTTAGTACATGAAGCAGTTGCCAGTGTGAGACTACATCTGGTCTTTTTAAGACCCTGTAGCACAAGGTGCAATGCTATAGCACAAATACAGTACTCTTAATTGTACCACAATGGAAGGTATAGATGTTGTTTTGTGCCTGATTATAGTATAATGTGTAAATGATCATGAGATACATTGCTGATTTCATGAAACCTGTACAAGCAGATCTCAACATGCTTTTGTAAGTAGACTGAGATCATTTTGATCTCAGGTTAAAAGCTTACACCTAAACAACCAAAGTAAATTGGTATATAAAATATTGAAGCCATACTCAGCAGCTAAGTGCCTGTAGCTAAGTTTATTTTTTACAAACATTGTTTTCTGAGATAGTAGCAGGTCTGAAAATGTATTGGTATAGAAATCCATTCATTTTTTCCATAATGTATGTCCTTCTTTTCTGTGAACAGCAAGACAGAACTCAGAATCCAGTGTTTCTTCCAGCTCCTCCTGCTCTTCAGATCCTGTGAATGTTGCAGACCAGGACAAAGCATTTCATGGTATTGTTCCCTTCTTGCAGTATTCTGGATTCTCTCTCTTTGTTATTCTGCTAGTGTCTAACAGTGCGAGCTTTTTCCCTTTTTCCAGGGTTACCTGAATTACTTGATAAATGTTGGTGGATAAAAAGCTTTTTCCATTGTGAACCATCTCCACCAACTGTTGGCAGAAAAACACTATCTGCAAGCAGGTGAGTCCTGTTCTTAATCATTGTGTTTTCCCTTTGGTAAAAGTGTTATTAAACAAGTCATAATCAGCTAAAACAATCTGGGGGAACAATGCTATTTTGATGACTTAAATAAAAGATACTGCAAGGGTATGGCTTCAGAAGCGTCCCACATTTTCATTTTAATAATTGGACTCATATTATGTATTTTGCTAGTGACTATTATTGTCATTTGTAGCAATATTTATTAAATCATCTACCCGTAGCACTTGCACACCTACTTATGCAGTTCCATTTTACTTTGTTAAAAAGATTACATGAATGAATCCAAAAATACTTAGGCAGATAAATACCTTTGTGGAAAAAGTAATGATAATCTTACACATAACCTTTTTGTATATATACTTCTGCAGTGCCAACAGTTGAATATGACAGCAAACTGAATTACCGACTGAGATACTATGCACAGACTTATTTTTCCAAGAGGCTTGGGATCTTCTGAATGTCTGGGTTCAACTGCGAGAAGACAACAAAACGTTTAAGAGAGAGGAAAGGTGTACTTTCAAAAAAAAAAAAAAAACAAAAAAAGTTTTGGCAGTAGCTTAAACAAAGTTGCTTAATGGACATGTCCATGACTTACCTTTTTCATTACAGAGTTACTATAATTTGAGATGACTAATGAAAGTTACCTGGATTAAATATCCTGATATCCTGATGACTTACCTGGATACTTAGAAAAAAGGAAAAAGGAAAAAAACGATGTAAGATAGTGTAGGTTTAGGAGAAATATATTTATGGTATGACTTTGCAATAGCTGATACTGTATCTAAGTTTTACCTCAAATATGTCAGCTCTGTAGACAATCACTCTGCTGTAAACAGGATAAAAACAGAGCAGTCCTGCTCCAGACTGTAAGGTGTATGTTTTTATCATGTATTAAGTATCACTAACAGTGAGCAGAGTTTACAAGCATGCCTGCTAATAACTTTGGTTTTATAAAGCCTGATTACACAAAGAAACAGTAATCAGTTTGTTCCTTGTTCCAGCTGGGTGTGTAGATGCCAACCTTAAATGCACAGGTACAACTTTCATTCACGTCTATGCATGTTTAAGGATAAAATAGCAGAGATACAAGAAACCAGTAATCCTAATGGACACTGACATTTGCCAAGCAGAAGAGCAACCGTAATCAGAGTTGATACCTGCAGCTCTGTTTTACTTTTAGATTACTTTCACCTGCCTCTTAAAGACCCACTTGTTCTCAAGTGACTATTAGTATTCACTGCTGTCTGTCAGCCTAGTTTCTTAGGTCTAGGAACTGGCAGTATGTTCAACTCAAATAATGTTATTAACCAAGTCTACCTTTGTCATGAATCTTGCTTTGAAATGTACTCTAGTATACTTTCATTTGGCCTTCAGCACTGCAAAGCAGTACATCAGGTTGTTTATTCTACTGGGTATGACTGAAATGCATCAATGGTCATAGAAAATTACAAATATTTTGCTGGATGACATCACTTCTGTGCATCTATGCAACCTTTTGATGTACTGTCACCAAATCTATCTGACCTTTGTCCATCACTGGATGAAGTAACAATCGCAAACATCAATATAAGTGTAACTTTTGCATAATAAAGTAGTAGTTGTTATGGTTATGCTTAAAAATCTAAAGTATATCAAGCACCAGTTTCAGGAAGCTTATAATTTTGGTGCAGGTAATGGGTGCCTGGCACATGACAGCAGAAAAGAACACAATGATAAGCACACAGTTTCAGGAATCTTTAAATTGCCTTGTTGTATATTTTTATCTTATTTTTGTTGTGCAGCTTCATCTTTATCCTTTCTCTAAGTGTACAGAATGAACTATTTTTTACATAAAGATTTTTTTTTTTTTTTGTATTAATAAAGATTTAATGTGACTTATTTTTGGGCTCTAGTACAAACTGTTATTCACTGTTTCTTGTTTGTTTTTGGTATTAAATGTTAGTTTGGTCATGTAAAGTAGAAAAATTCAGAATTCCACTGAAAACTTAGAGGAGTGACATTCCTCCGTTAGCCACTTTAAACTTTTATGTGAGTTGAAAAAAAGAGGGATGGAACATAATGTAGGAAAAAGACACATTTTAATGTAACCTTGTATTGTAAAAGAAGGGAAGAGGAATCTGCGACTGTTAATCTTGGAAGGGTGATTCAAGCTGTTTCTGAAGATTCTTGAAGCCGTAAAAGAAAGAAAGGAAAAAAAATAGAGAGAATTTAAGATTGAGAAACTATACATATATAAAATCTGAATTCGGGTAGGACAAAATGTAAATAATAATCACCAAATCATTAAGGTTGGAAGAGAACTCCAAGATCATCTAGTCTAACCATCACTCTACTATCAATATCACCCACTAAACCGTGTCCTTAAGCACCAGGTCCAACCTTTCCTTGAACACCCCCAGAGACTGTGACACCACCACTTCCAAGTATACAACAGTGATGGCCTTACAGATTCTGTTTTGCAATGTCAAGGTGGCTAGAATTTGGAAGAAATATAAATTTGCATTTTTCTTTCAAGAATTTTCTTGCCTACATGTGAGCTAAAGAGACTTTATGAGAGTATCATATGTCATACTACAAAAAAAGTATCGTACTGTCATACTACATATATTGTATGGACAAGAGTAAGGATTAACTGTAAGGACTATAGCTATTTCTAAGAAATTAGATTTTATTTTTGTATACTAGCCTGTTCTGTAGAAGCAAGAATGCTAAGTGAACTCACTTAAGAAACAGGTTTTCAATAAAAGAATGAACCACAAATCAAACTCAATTTGAGTTGTCAGGAATATTTTTTTTTTCTAATATGTGCATTGATTAAGACTCCCATAAACAATGTACTTTAGCATTCATTTGTAACTTACTTTAAAGCTTTGTTTCTGTTTGTGATATCACACCTTCCTGAAATGTAAAATATGTGCAAATCCCTCTTCATTTTCCTTTATTTTATTTTTGTTAACTAATCGTATATTATTTCTTCATGAAAGCACACCCTTAATGTCACTTCTCAACTCTTCTGCAAAGGAAAATCTAAACAGGGTTCATTCAGTGCCAGGATCAATATTGTTTGCAAAATATTTATTGGATTATTGCATTCACAGCTGGTGATCATGAAAATTTTGACCACGACCATGTTCAGTGTGCTGGCTGACTTTTCAGTTATGGAGGGACTCTGTCAAATTTCTCTTGTGCGCTTTGTCACATGCCATTTTAAGCAGTAGCAGATGTGAAATATACTGCACATAGTCACCAGGAGATATGTCTTTGTAATAGAAAATGGCTATCACTAACAATGAAAAGAATCAGATCAGTATAATGGGAGGAAGCCAGGGAAAAACAAAAACAACATTTTTTCCTTTTCTTTTCTTTTCTTTTCTTTTCTTTTCTTTTCTTTTCTTTTCTTTTCTTTTCTTTTCTTTTCTTTTCTTTTCTTTTCTTTTCTTTTCTTTTCTTTTCTTTTCTTTTCTTTTCTTTTCTTTTCTTTTCTTTTCTTTTCTTTTCTTCCTGCTTCTCTATGCTTCAAACTGCAGAAAAAGAAATCACTGTTTCTCAAACTTGTGCCACCTTCTTGTACAAAAGAGAAGATTCAGCTTCCACTTACAATAATCAATTTTATGTTCAGAGTCACACTACTGGCTTTTTCTCAAAAGTAGAAATATATAAGTTTCTGTAGTCATTATGATGGGACACAATTGCAAGAGAGAAATAGTTTTATAAAATCAACTCATAAGAGGAAGAGGAAAGGCCTGTACATTCAAAACATTGTTTTCTTAGCTGTCAAGCACTGCATCTTCTTAAATCTTTGCCATCTTTGGCTTCAAGAGAATTTATTTTCAGTCATACCCATAAAGCAAAACCTGTAATCCCACCTTAGTTATTTAGCTGAAGTAGCAGTACAGGGTACAAGATGAAAATGTTTCGTCATCTTTAGAGTGTACTGAGATTCAGTATCTACCGTAACAGAAGAGGACTGACAGAATTGGCTGTGTGTCAGTCTCACCACTGACATCATGGAGGCTAAGGCCAGGGTGTCCTGGAGAAGTGCATCAGTACTTTGAATAATTTTTCCAAACGATATTATTATTATTATTATTATTATTATCATTATTATTATTATTATTATTATTATTATTATTATTATTATTATTATTATTATTATTATTTTCTCTCTCTCTTTTTTTTTTTTTTTCCCCAAGCAAGTGAAAAACACCTACAACTGACTTTGATTTAACGAGTGATGGAAAGTCCGTAAAACACCCTAGCAAAAAAATTCTACAGTTGATCACCCCACCTTTACAGATCTTTCCCATTTTTGCCAACTTGAATTTCTGCTTGAACAGCAGTTCAGGGGTTAGTCATGAATGCATGACACAAGTAACAAACAAGAAAGTTTTAAAGTGCAGATTTCACCACCTCTTCAAGGACCTTGACAGTGATTTCAGAAGAGGTTGTATCATTTTATTTAATCCCCAGCCATACCTACTTCAGGAATTATTTCAGCACAATAGGAGTGGATCAATAGATGGAAGCAGCTGGAGATATGCTTTTTGCTTCTGTGGGTGAAAGCTAAAAGCCAAGCTTTTAGAGTATGTTTCCCACTCCGTAGTTTGCTTGTTTCAGATAAGGTGAGCACATACAAACCATTGCTAAGAAAAGTAAATGAGAAGGAAAAAGGTTATATTGTGGCATTGCAACAGCATAAAAACTTTGGACAGTTTGAAATCTTGGACCCTAACCACATGCTTCATCACAGTTCTTTTGAAAATGAAACTTAATGAAAAGACTTAAATATCTGAAATCTTGATATATAAAAATCTTGATATATTTAAAGCCCTACTCATTACAACAAGCTATTTGTATGAAATAGTACTTGCACTCATTTTTATTTTTTTAATTTCATTTTAAAATGATTTTCAATCAGTTTTTAATTACAAATGTTCTGTATTTGTCTCTCTGTGTGTAAATCACATTATAAATATTATTATCTGCATTTCAAAATTAGTGCTAAATTTTAAGGAAGATTTTGCCATCTATAAGAGGTTCTTAAATGAAATTATTTTAGTTGTAATCTGTCTCTCCAAGAACCTCTAAACTGCAACTTTTACTGCCTCATAATAGTGCAGAAATAAAAAGAATGTTACTAGGGATAAAATACATAATGTGATAAGTTGTTTTGAATGGGTATTTTCCCGTTATGTTTTAACCAGGTTAATTTAATTCTGCTGTGACTCTGGTTAAGCCCCACTGTATGTTTAAATTCAGGTGAAGTCTGGAATTACTATTGAATCACACCAACAGAATGTTTTGGGAGCTAGAGTATCTCCCCATGAGAGTAGCAGATCAAGTGAAGTCTTGAATGCAAAAGGCAAGGCAAACATACAAGGTATGTGATAATTCCTTCTTATTGTCACAATAAAATATCACCTGCAAAAAATGCAATCAGTTTTAAAACAAACAAACAAACAATTGTTCTCTTTTTGTGCTTTCCAGAAACAATTTTTTCATAAGTGAAGCATTAGTTGTTTTGTATTTCTCTCTTCATTGCAAAAGAATGACAGGCTGAAATGCATTAAGAAAACAGATTGTTACTTTCCCTCCTTATTTTTCCTGGCTGTCATAATTATTGTCCTTCATTAATCTTCTGTCAGTATTGGTTAATGTATTTAGAGAGGGAGGTATTTGTTCTCTCTGTATCTGCTACCTTGCTGTGAATGCAACAGGATTGTTATCTGGAGGGGGCAGCTCCATGATGTGAGTGCTTTCTAAACACCCATGCTGCATTACTGCAGTGCTCCACTGACCAAGCAGCTCTGCTTGAGAGTTCCAAGTTAAATTTGTGCAGACCCCAACTTTCCCATCTAAGGGCTGAGTTTTATTCTGCATTTTGCAACATAGCATTTGATATTAATCTTGAAAGACGTCAGCTGCTAGGTATTATAATATTACATAAGCCTTTATAGCTAATTCTGAATATGGTTGTCTTTTCACTTCTTCTTAGACATTAAAGCACCCACAGCTTTTATTATATATTTTAAAGGAATGCATGCCATGAGTACAATTTATTGGCCCAAACATTTTTCAGCTAGAACAGGACTATTTCAATATCAATCAAATACTACATCCTCTATATATTTAGCTTCCTCACTCTCACAGCATTTATTTTAGCTCCCAAACAGGAAAGTCATTTGAGATTTATTCAAACCAAAGGTAATTCTTCTTCAATGTCACCTAATGCTGAAGTTCACTGGGATGAAAGTGCTTTTTGTAATAAATACATGGAAATTCTTTGGTGGTGGATATGAAGTTAAAAATAAAAAGGTTACAAAATGGACTGTTGTGGTAGTCATTCCCACCTACTTAAAAACCCAATTATAAACATAAATAGGGATCACTAGGCTCAGAGATATTTATGTTTATGTCAATGCTCACTCACTCTCTTTAGTTACTCTCTGAAATAATTAAAAATAATAAAAATAATAAAAAAATACCTTTCTGTACCTAAGCAGCAACAACACAGAAACTATGTAGAAAGGTCATCCAGGGCATTCAGAAATTCCTATATTATCCTAGATTGGGTCAACCTATCTCCAGGACATACATCTTTTAATCTCTGGAAGAAAAATGAAAAAATAAAGGAAAAGTTAAAGTTAAAGGAAAGTTAAAGTTAGGAAAAGGAAAAGGAGGGAAAAAAAATGAAAAGGAATTAAATATTTCAGGAAATAATCAAGGACATACTAGAAGTTCAGACAGATCAGGCACTGCCCAGTATCTTTTATGTTGTATCAACTCTCAGATAAGGAAACTGGATTGAGAGTCCACAGCCTTGCTATAAAACAGCAGATGGAACTGCAGCAAAGTCTTTTACCTCAAATAAACCTTTTCTTTTTGGCAGAAAAATAATATTGCTGAAATAAGTTGATGGTTGTGTGATGGCTAGTGGGAGTTTTGTTTAACAGCTTTTTTATGGGCTACTCTCTGAAGGAAATACTTGTTTGATTCCCCTCAGATTTTATGCACATGTTGCATTAATATGGATTAAGTCCTTACAGGGAACACAGTGATGTGCTATAGCCAGGCAAAAACTCCTTGAGAAGTACCTCAGGTGTGTACTCAACTTAAAATTTTAAGAATTTAAGAATTTCACTGGAAACATCTTATTCTTTCTTTCTTTCTTTCTTTCTTTCTTTCTTTCTCCCTCTCTCTCTCCCTCTCTCTCTCCCTCTCTCTCTCCCTCTCTCTCTCCCTCTCTCTCTCCCTCTCTCTCTCCCTCTCTCTCTCCCTCTCTCTTTCTTTCTTTCTCTTTCTCTCTCTCTTTCTCTCCCTCTTTTTTTTTTTTTTTTTTAAATCTGCGTTATTTCAGTAAAAGGACAGATAAAAAACATGTCAAAATATTCTGACTGACAATTGTTACAAAGAATGAGTTGCATTTAACATTAACGTTCAATGTCAGAGAGAGAAACTATTTTCCTAATCTCTAAGAAAGCAACAGTAACCTCTATAGTTATGTACACATGGGGACCTGATTCTCCCTTCCTTTCATCAGTGGCAGTGAACTAGAGCCACAAAATATGCAGGCTGAGAGGAGGTAAGCAGGATAAATAAACTGAGCTCTCACTGACTGCATCATGTTTTCAGGAAGAAAATCTGGAGGATCACTTGGGTTCCAGACAACATGAGAAGCATTTCTTGTCACAGGTGTAGTGAAGGAGGTTGCTGACCATTTTACAGTAAAGATTCAGGTACTTTTTTTTTTTTTTTTAAACCCTACAAATGCTCCAGCTATAGGAACTGAAAATTCTAGAGCTGAAACTCTTGATTAAATGGATAACAAGAGAATGATGCTCTTATTTTTTAACTCCTGAAAATTGCTCCCTGAAACCTAGTGACATATACTATTGCAATTTTGATATGCATTTAATTTAAAATAATGCAGTTCATCATCTGCAGTTACTTCCAATCTACATCACTTACAATATGAAACATGACTATGCAGCTTAAGGCAGAATATATGTAAGGACATATTTTTAGCAGGATTTCAGCTACTTTGGCATCCATTTAGTTGATAACAGGGATGTACTTTCAGAACGAACAAATAAAGGATACTTCATGGTATCTTTTCAGGATTAAAAAGAGTATTCAGCCAAATGTAAAGTTCAGTTAATAAACCTTACTTTCATTTCCCACATGCAAAGGAGTGACCTAGAAAGAGCACCACTTGCATTTGGCTGCTGAAATACTGTACTACAAATACAGCATGAGTATTTCATCTCATGTAGCTCCTTATTTCCAAGAAATTTGAGTGCCTCTGGTATTACCTAAGTCACCCAGGACACTGAAGCTGAAGTTATTGTGCTGAGGCTTGCTTAGCACTGTTCTATAATTAGTGGGCAAGTCAATTCAACATTTATTTCAAGTGCATGAAGCAGAAGCAGATTCATGAATTGATAATAGAGAATACATACGTTGTCTGAATGCATTAGTTTAAAAATGTTCTTAAAATACTGTTTTATTTAAAACATGCATTTGGAGATCTTAGAGTATTCCATCTGCAAGTCAACACATTATGTGCATTACATTTGTATCAGATTACTATGTGTCTCAGCTAAATAAAGACCCTCATCTCTGATGCTTCACATTTATGAGCCTCCTATGGTAATGCATGTAAAGGCACATGGGAGAGAAGCAGAGAAAGAATTCTTTGTACTTTCAGCATTTACTGAACAGTGCAGTTTTTGGGTCACCACAAAGTTTAGGCACAATTTAAGCAGTAAAAGCAAAAACAGAATCTCTCTTTTAAGACTGTCCTTTTCAGAATTACCAGGATTTCCTTTAGCATTGTCTAATGTCTTTCTGACATAGCATGAAATAGGAACACAGAATTCTAAAGTTTTGGGGCTGTGTGGGGCTGTTTCATGAGTTGTAAATGGAAAATTAAGCAATATCAACATGCACACTCAGTATTTAAAGAAATAGAAAGCCAGAAAGGTTTGAGAAAGGAGGTATAGAAACAGAGAATGTGGAATATAAACCCCCTGACTTCAGCTTGCTTCTTCCTCCTTCAGTTTTCTGAAAAAACTGAAATGACCATTTGTTATTAGATTGATTTCTACCATGTCATAACTATTCTGCTTCTGCCAACCATGCCCCTGGCTGAACAGGAATGGGAATACTTAACATCAGTGATTTGTAACACACAGCATATAGTAGTGAGAATCTAAAACCTAACACCCATAAGCACAAGACTTTTCTTTCAAGAAAAAGTAGAATGTTATTGCAAAGCCTGTATTAATATAAGGGCAAAGTAACAACATTCTGCCTTACCAAATGGAAAGATTACTATTTCTGAAACCATGTTCGCTAATTCTATAAACATGTATATTATAATGCCCATTAAATATTAAACTACATATTTATTGAACTACAACCCCTCCCACAAAATTATATTACTATTTTATTTTATGCAACATAGTGTTTAGCATTTCCACATAAACTTTTATTTGCATATACTAACATTTCCGTCTGTAATCTTAAAACTGTATTAGCATGGTTTCTTTTATTTTATATAAAAAGAGTAATGCTGCATGTATTTCATAAAGCAATCTGTTTCATTTCCTAGTTCCTTGTCTTTACTCTCCTATCAAACCACCAAAGCACCACTAATGATGTCTTTACCTAATTAGTGGGGCCTGTACTAGAATAAGTTTATAATCAAGGATGCTGTGTAATGGTGCTTGCATTTCTGCAGGGAAAATAGCTTCTGAACATACAAAATTCTTATAAAGCAGTTTTCTTTTTCCTAGCAGCTTGACTCGTTTTTGTAAAAAGAAGAATTTTCATGTATATTATTTGCATGTACATAAAAACTTGAATTTAGGAATGGTCATACTTTGTGCATTTAAAAAATGTTTTTATTATTAAAACCTAACAGTAATAATATTAAAAGTATTAATCATGATAGTTGTAATAATTCTTATGCAAGTATTAAAATGTTGTTTACTTTAAGCTGAGCTTCAGACTGCAATAAAATTTTACCTTGTCCAACTTCCAGTGTGGTTTATCTATCAGGCACTATAGTTTTGGTAGTGGATGCTACTAAGCTGGCTGAAAATACACAAAACATATATTCTGTTTTCCAGATCATGCAATATATTAACATGTCCTCATTTACTGGGTGAAGTTGCCTAGCCTGCATTGTGGAAAATGTTCTCATAAACCCACTAGATTTAGTATCATGAATCTGAGCTCATACTTTTTTTTTTTTTTTTTTTTTTTTTCCATACTAAAGGCATGTTGCTTTAGTTTTTAATGATTAATCAAGTGAAATGATGCATAGATTATGTCTTTCTTCTTTTCTGTCTGAATTTCTCTCTCATTCTCTTTTGGCTTGGGATCTTTCATGAGTTATTTGATCCCTCAGTATATCGAGAAAAATTGCCAAGTCCAGAAGTATTCCCAATACTCCTCATGACTATTTGCTAAAACATTCACTGAATACTGCTTTAAAATCTGCAATGCCACCTGCAAAAGTAGTAACAGTCTTAATTTGTTAGTACTAGAAAAACTGCTATCTATTCCAAAGTCACTAATATCAACCATGCTGACCCAAAATGTTCTTCAGTTCTTTTGTCTATTGATAATAGTTTGTGTCTAAAAAAAAACACATGATAAACCTCAGTTAACAAAGCTTTGTCTTGTGGACATCTCGTTCTTTCCTCAAGATTGGATCTTATTTCCACTAAAATAATGATGATGATGTTGATCATAATAACAATAATAAACCCTTACCTCTGTACTGTAAGAGAAGCATATTTCAGAAAATGCAAGTTGTTTTGGTGTGGTCATAGATTAAGCAGAATTTTAAAATTTCCATGGCTTAAAGATACATTGATTCTTGAACATACATATATGATTGGCCTTTACATGTACCATAGAAAAATATGCTCTTTCTTCTCATATAGTCAACATATTTAGGACAATTCACCAAAAATGAAAATCGGTGAGGTTGCAGAGGCACTGAACACTGCTAGAAGTCTCGTATAACAGGATTTTATTTTCTTAGTGTATCTAGGAATGACGAGTTTCATCTGCTGGGTCTATTGCTGTTCCAAAGTAGGAAGAGGATCAACAGGTAAAATGACTGAGTAGAACAGCAGTCCCTGAGATACACTGTTCAGTATAGTGTGTGAGTGAGTGTTTATTTTTAGTGCCATAATGTGTCATTATGTTTATCTTTTTTATGTATAAGCTTTATCATTTTACTAATAGAATGAAAGTGATGTGGAAATGGGTATTTTGTTTTCAGAGTCCTTGACATTCTTTACATAGCTTTCTGAGTGTGTGTGCTTACAAATGCTACAAAAATGACTAATCTGTATGAAAATACATTTTTTTTTAGCAGCCAACGTGCCAGTTTCAAATACTACAGGTTTTATAAATGGAAGTGAGAACAGTAGAAAATTTAAATAACTTTCCAATGATAAGCCATCTCCATCCTAAAAGGATTCAAAACCACATTTTACCCTAGAATAAATGATTCTGTTTGTTGATTTTCTATGAAGTGAAATTAAATACGACTTTTTCAACAGAGACCAGAGGGGATAAATACAGAGTTGCAGAATATTGCCATCCAAGCAAAATTTTGGTAAATAAACAGAAAAACAAACAGAATGGCTTGTCAGTTATTAGTTATGGTGACTGATTTACATTGTTTAACATATGCTTGGTATCAACAATGTGCTCAGAGTTGTGAAAAATGTGACTGCTGTCTATTGCTTAATTTTAGGAGTCAGACAGAATAGATGGTTCCAGTAACCATTATATACATATATATACACCAATATGAAATGCTTGGGATTATTTTTAATAATTGATTTTGGTATTGATTCAGTGAAAAAATGCAACATGACCTTTTAATAAATAAAGGTGTTTCATAACCTTTTTGAAAGATGACATTTCCAATAACTTCATATCGTTACTTGCCTTGATGAGCTAAATAATGTGGTTTTCAGATAGCCATCTAAACTTGTGCAGCTCTCCATTTTGCATTTCTACTCAGTATGTGATTTATAAATCACAGTTTCTAATTGCTTTTTCATGGTTCAGAATATAAATACCTAATTTATTCCTTCATGCTTGTACATGAGTACAAAACTCCAAATTTTTGAAATCCAACCCAAAAGGTCATTTAGCCCATGGTCCACGACATCAAGGTCCATGGTCCTTGATGCTGCTGTGCTGCTGGAAAAGAAAAACATAAAAAAGAGAAAGGTATCTTTTCTTAATGCCCTATTGTTAGAATTCAAACTAGTGTATGCTAGACTAGGCTTCAGTTTGGATCAACTAAAGGGATCTGTGAAGATTAAAGTAAGACTATGTCATTTAGAAAATCTGCAATAGTCAACTCCTCCCTCTCTCTTCCTCCCCCCCTCCCAAAAAAAAAATAAAAAAAAATGCCACCTTAATTTAGAGTCTCTGAGAAAAAAGGCATGAGACTAGTGAATCTAAATGATCAACATACCCAATGTCCATATTTTTATTTACCTTTCTATTTTTTCAGGAACTGCGGCTGTTTGTTTTCTAGGATCTTCATATAGGTAAGGTAATTTTTGCATCTACCTTTCTCTTATTCTAGGTGAAAACATTTGTGAAGTCTGGTCTCACTGAAGTCTCATCCAAAAGTGCATGAGCAATTTTTTGCTCAAAGTTTAGGTAAGCACTCTTAATTTCAGGAATGCAAATCAAATTACTTTTGAGTCAGCCAAGTCTTCTAACTCGTGCCTTATGATAGTAGATTATTTTTTCCCAGATTTTTTCAATGTAGCAACCACAAATATTTCCACAAAATTAACTTCTATCATCTTTAAGAATTTAATAGTCAATTTTGCAAAAGTCGCTCATCAAGGGATAAACTGAAAGTCAAAGAACAACAACAAAATCACCTAAATCATAATTCACATAGGTGAGGGAAAAAGAAAAAGGAAAAAAAAAAAAAAAGACTGAAAGGCTTCATCTTTTCTATGTGATTTTCAAATACTTGTGTATACAGTCACACAAATTGAAGCACATATTTTAGCTGGTGGCTTTGGACAGCTCTTACTATTGCATACCAAAAAAAAAAAAAAGTTTTTTGCCAAACATTGGCTCAAAGCATGGTTAAATGAATGCACCCTGCCTTTCTCTGTTGATTTTATAGGGAACCTAAGGAGATCAATTTTATAACTGGAGACACTGGAGACACTGAAAACAGTGCCCAAGGTCTGAGTAGGAGCAGACTACCTGTGCACAGCATAGAAACATGGAATCATAGAATCGTTAAGGTTGGAAAAGACCTCCAAGAACATCTGGTCCAACCATCCCCCTACCATAAACATCATCCACTAATCCATGTCACTAAGCACCACATCCAACCTCTCCTTGAACACCCCCAGGGACAGTGACTCCACCACCTCTCCCTGGGCAGTCCGTTCCAATTCCCGACTGCTCTTTGTGAGAAGAAATTCCTCCTAATTTCCAACCTAAACCTCCCCTGGCCAAAAATATAACTTTTTTTTTTTTTTTTTTTTTCCCTAATATGGATTTTATAGATTTTGAGATATATAACAAAATCTCTTTGAGATCCATGGGCTCAATGTTAAAAAACAAATGCACCTAGGGTGAAGGAAATCTGCTTCATCCTGTCTGTATGTGCTCAGCCCAGATCCACCTCCGGGCTCCTTCTATTTCAAATCTGCACCACATAAGATCTGTAGACTTGTAGTTTCTCATGTGCAGAAGGTGGGATATGAGAATGTGTGTGAAGCATTTATGACAGGGATATAGGCAAGGCCATATCCACAGAGCTGGTGACAGCCATGTTCTTGTGTTGGTGCACAGCATCCCACAGCAGAGACTGCTATCTTCCAGCCCTTCCAACCTCTCTCCTCTCTCCCAGACTCCTGACCAGGAGACTGACTCCCATCAGAGTTGTTGTGGCAGGCCACAGGTTCATGTTAAACAAGATGCCATGTTTTAAGGGATACTGAACAAAACAGACTTTGCTGGAGCTCAGTGGCTGTGAGTGAATTACAAATAACATAGCAAAGGAGACCAAGCTGATAGCAGAAGAATAGCTTCAAGTAAGCTGAAATACATTGGCAATGTAACAAAATGGAGAAGGAATAAGCAGCCTCTCTTTGTATGTGCAAGAAATAGTTGTCATAAAAAAATAGAAAATCATAGGCAGCCTTTTCAGATCACACTTTGAAGCTATTGTGGTCTTAACAGATACTCAGAGTGGAAGAGAGTGAACTTGAAAATCTATTACATTTATGGGATCAGTGATTAAATACATAACATAAAAGATACTGTGTTTAATAATACTAAGAAAATATCCACCTCTTGTTCCCTTGGTTAAAAACTGGGCTTGTCATCGAGAGCACTCAGAGCAACCAAATCATCCAAGAAAGCATTTGAGGCTATTTTCTAAGGATAAGGAAGCCCTTCATACAGAAGCACAGGTATGTGAAGGCTCTTTTATTCATTTCCCTGAAAGCATTTTCCATTTCCAAAATCAGCATTTTCAAGAGGAGTAAGATTTCTTGCCCAGTATATTGTTTAACTGAGAAAAATATGAGTGTCAGTAGTCACTGAACAAAGAAAAAACAGTGAAGCACCAGACCTAGGATGACCTGAAACAGGCATTAGCCCTGGCAGATTATGACAACAAGCTGCAGCACATGAATTTAAGAAGTACTCAGTGCTGCTGATGTGCCTTGGGGAATAGGTAAAGAACCTCTGAGTAGTTCAGGACACCTAAGAGATTATCTGAACACAGTTAGTAAATACAATATTCATATGAACTTTCTAAAGTTGTGATGGTCCAGTCTGAGCTCAAGGGAGAAAGTGGAATTGTGCAGCAGTGACATTAAAAGATGACCATGGGAACAGGTACTTCACGGGCCTATGCCAAGGAGAAAGCCAACTACTGTGACAAATCCATGCCTGTTGCTAAGTTCCCTCTCAATTAAATTAGTAAGATTTTGCTCTTCTACAAGGCAATGCCATGTGTCAAGCAACTGCATTTGCAGCAGTTCTGTATTGCCATGACACACTGGAACCAAGAATTCATTTGGTGTTGCTGTACAGTTTCATGAGAATTAACTGCATACAGAAGATTGTCATCAGTTTGCAGGAGCAGCTTCTGTTGAGTAAATGTTTTTATCCATGCACAATCTGACACTGCTGCAGTAATGACACTTTGGAACACTCCACCCAGAATGTTAATCGACACATTTAGGCATGCAAACTGTGCTAGACACAACAGGCATTGCCTCAGGGGAATTTCTACAACCATTTGAAATTAACACCTGGAAGGCTCCTGTAACCATCAGTCAAATACTTAGATGTGAAGGTTCGCTAACTTTTCAAGCTGGTTCATTGCCTCTAGCTGATCCATTATCTCACCTGTGCAGATGACTAACTGGGAAGTTCCTGAAGCACTCCAGGAATTAATGTGCTGAATGCACTGAGCATGTATACAGGCACAGCACCCATACCCAGATACACCACAGTAATAACATTAGAAAAAACTTCATTTCCTTTCATATAACCTACTTCCAACCTAAGTGCCACAGCCACAGTTTGAGAATTCAGAGAGACAATATTACTAAAATATATGATAAATATTCTGTATATAGGTGTAGTAAAATTTCTCTTTGATTTTTATTGTATACCTTTCTATAAGCTAGACAAAGAAAAGGAAGCTAAAGGAATAGTTTCTCCTGAAAACCATGGTAGGTGGAAAGACTGTTAATTGGAAAAGACAAAGATTTATGTGCTGATAGTTCTTGTTTCAATTAATGGTAAATAAGTGGGAGAAATTAACAACAACAACAAAATACAAATGATAAAAAGTGAGAATATTCATGTATGTGGAAGATAACAAGATCAGGAAAAGAAAAGAAGAAGTCAGCAAAAATAAAAAAAATATGTGGGAGGTGAACAACAGAAAATAATGGCTTTATTTCAAGACTATCTTATGACATAAGAAATATGAGCCTTTATGGTAATCCACAGATGGCTGCTGGAAATTAACAGCTTGCTTATACATATAAGACTATTACAAAGGGTGACACTCATGAAGTGTGGGAAACAGCCCTGGCAAGGAGGCAACCATGGAGGCAAACAACTTCCACTTTTCTACTTTATGCAAACCAGCAACCTCCAGTAAAAAGGAATTTACTGTGGACAGTAACAGCATTTCATTGATATTTGCATAGATTTATTTTTGGATGAAAAGGTTTAATTGTTCAAACCCAGTGAACACGAAAGCATATCAACTGTTCCTTAACTGGAAAGCAGCTCCTCAGGGAAACTTACTCAAGAATTAGAGAGATACAAATGTTACAGATGTAGAACAGCTGGCTTCTAGGATATGGCTTGATGATAGTGTAGATCTGGACAATGTCTGAACCAAAGTACAAATCACATCAACTTATTTATGCAGACTAGTCTACTGTTGGCTCCTGCATCCCTTCTTTCGGACAGCAGAAAGCAGTATTGTTTTATCAGAAACATTTATAGTAACATTTGTATATATTATTGATTTTATATATATATATACATGTATATTACATACATATATATACACATACATATATATGTATGTATGTATATATATACTATACATATATTATATATATATAATATGTGTATATATATATATATATTATATATATGTATAGTATATATATTATTATAGTAACAATTTTTGAACACTGTAGTGTTTTACTAAAAATATTAATACTAAATTTTTCAGAAATTGTAGTTTTCTTATGCCTCCTGAAATCAAATTCTTGACAGATTTTAAAATTATAGTTTGTCTAAGTAATTCATATTTTACTTGACTGAAATTCCAGTAATGATGAATCTGACTAATACTAGTCCCTGGTTAACTTGTTTTAGATTTGAAGCTACTTTCTCTCCTGAATGTAAACCTTAACCCTAAGAGCTTGAAAGATGTGTAGACCTGTGCTGTGCCTGTTAAAAGCAACATTCTTGTCCTTTGCTCTCATGCATGATGGAAGAGCCTGAAAAGAATGAGGCATCCTTTAGGTCTGATAGCAAAAACTTAGGTTCAATATTTTTAAACTGGCTATACTTGCAAAGAGCAACTTTTTTGGTCAAACCCACGGTATGATACTTGTAAAAATGATCTTTTCTATCATTATTAAGATAGTACCTTTTTTGTAAATGGGAATGTTTGAGACTCTTTGGAAATGGTACAAGAGCTATTTAAAAACTGCATTAAGTAAAAGGTAATACAAGCCATTTTCATATGTACGAAAGGTGGTAAAAGCCTTTTGTTTTGTTTTGTTTTATATTTTTGGAAAATGTTTTTAAATATTTTGTTTTGTTCCTAATGAAAAACAGATCCATTTAAAAAGTATCTCTTCCTCTCACTTCCTGGACAAAAATCTAGTTTAAGAAGAAAGCAAACAGGCCTGTCTTTGATTGATGACTTCCTTGTGTTCATGATGTGAAGCCAGAAAGAGCTTATTTTTTTCTGGGAATTTGAAAATCTGAAGATCAGTAAAACTAAAATCTTCCTTCTGAATAAAAAATAATGTTCTGATTCCACTTCTGAATATCTGATTCCACTCGTGAATATGAAACAAATATGTTTCTCCCTCCGATATGTAAGGAACCCCAGGCCCACAATTTGTCAGCTAATGCTGACAATTTACCAAAATGGGACAATGGGACATGCAGGATCGGAACATACACTTTGTTTAGAATCACAAATAATTTTATTTTTTTTCCCTAATGTTGAAATTACCCAGAGTTCTTACAAAAGATGAAGAAAAGAGCTAGCATTGAACTATTCTTCTACTGAAATGACTTCGCTTTTTCACGCTTCAACTTACTATCTCAGGAAAACTGTGGGTACTCAGTTTAGAACTAGACAAATAGATTTTTAAAACAGTTCTGACCATCATTCAAATTTCTCTTCAGACTCCTAGTCCGTAGTCCAAGCTTCAGTATTGAATACAACCCTGAGTGAAATCTCTAAACCAGAAAGTCTCCATCATCCATTCTTTTGTCATAGACAATGAGCATCCACTCAAGCTAAAAGTAATCATTATAAATGAATGAACTGAAACAAGTTGATTTTCCACAGGTTTTAAGATTACAAAATTTATTAGAAGTATCAAAAACATTGCTTCTGCAGCCTTCTAGAAGAATTAAAAAAATGAACAGAAATTACATCCTCAGTTCTATCCATAGCTTAGTTATTCATGCAGAACCTAAAATTACCCCTACATGTATTAGAAATACATAATTGAAAGTAAGTGACTCTTTGAAAGTCCTGAAGACCATCTCCTTTGAAAACTTCAAATCCAACAGGCTGTAATATTTTTGGCCTGTTCCATAATATTGGTTTTAAAGTTCCTCCTCATAAAGTAAAGAATCAAGCAAAGGTTTAAACTTTTTCATACAAGCACAGAATCATCTAGGTTGGAAAATGACCTTCAAGATCATGAAGTCCAATCGTCTTGTCTCCAGCTGATGGTCTGTGTATGCTTGATACTATGTATTGCCTTCAGATACTTTTGAAACAATAACTATCACTTATTTAAAACAGATTTTTGCTTTTTCGTACCTTGTACTTGCACAATCACAGTGCAACATTCTGTTAGCTTTCTGAAAGGAAACATCCACATTAAAAAAAAAGAAAAAAAAAAAGGCAAGAGCAAAATAAAACAAAACTGTTCACCTAATTTAACTTTGGTAGATCATTACAGAGCTAGAAAATTTACTGTATTAAAGGAAAAATATGTTTTATTAATACCTTTATCTAGATAGCCAAGTAAATGAAAAATGATTGGGAAAATGAGTAATGACCCACAGATTAATGTGTGGGTGATGACCTGCTGTATCATAACAGGTAACTTCACAAGTATCAAGAAATATTTCTGGACAAATGAATAATCATAATTAAAACTTTTAACTTTAGAAGCTCTCCAGAAGAAGCAACCACTATTATTGAGTTTATATCTACCACATCTCCTCCACATGTGGATGAATTGACTACGGGAAAGACACCTTAGTGTATGGGACAGAGTGTGTGCATATGTGCTGCTGAAAGCTGCTGGGCTGAGATCAAGCTTGAAGTAACTGGCAAGGGCCCCTCTGACTATGAAGGATATATATGTTCCCAAACAATTTTATTTTGATCTGACAATAGATCAGAAACTCAATGTGCTTAAAAAGCTTTTCTATCTTGTGTTCCTTTTGACAAGTTCTCTTTAAGAAAAATACCAGAAAGATTCCTCTCAAGGCTTTAGATGAAATTAATTCCTGTCATAATGTATTTCACTTTTTTTCCAGGGTATAATTTACCCAAATTTTGGATATAATCATGGTGAGATAGCCATAAATCATAGGTCGGCATTTTCAGTCTTGAATACCTAAACCCTGATATCTTAAAATACATGGCGTTTATTGATTTGCCAAAATAGAAGTTTGCCAAGACAAAACAAAACAAAACATTTTTTTCCTTCAGAGAGATCTCTCTTATGGTCTCTTTTTGTAGCTGAAAAGCACAATTTAGGTGCTACTGAAGGTTAAATAAAAGGAATGTCAATAACAGCTCCTCTTATAAAGCAGTGAGAAATTGTTTCCATGGAGTGCTCAGACACTATAATGAACTGTGGTGAAGAAATGCTTAGCTCTTTAAATGACCTTTGGGAACACTGGAGTATTAGCTATTAGGAACTGAATTTGCCTTAAACTACTCTTCACCTATCCATTGTGTGCACCTGCAGCCAACTGCATCCTGGGCTGCACCAACAGAGGAGCGGCCAGCAGGATGAGGGAGGTAATTGTGCCTTTCTGCCCTGCCCTCATGAGGACCCTACCTGGAGTGCTGAATCTGGGTCTGGGGCCCCCAGCACAAGAAGGATGTGGGACTATTAGAGCAGGTCCAGAGGAGGGCCACAAAGTTGGTCAGAGAGCTGGAACACTTCTATGAAGAAAGGCTGAGAAAGCTAGGGCTGTTCAGCCTGTAGAAGATAAGGCTCTGGGGTGAATTTCTTGCAGATTTTCAGTACTTAAAGAGGCCTTAAAAAAGATGGAGGATAACTTTTTACTCAGTCAGATAATGACAGGACAATGGGGAATGGTTTTAAACTAAAGGAGAGGAGATTTAGATTAGAGTTTAGGAAAAAATTCTTCTCTCAGGGTGGTGAGGAACTGGAACAGGTTGTCCACAGAAGCTGTGGATGCCTTGTCCCTGGAGGTGGTCAAGACCAGATGGATGAAGCCCTGGACAACCCGATTTAGTGGGTGGCATCCCTGCCTATGGCAGGAGGGTTGGAACTAGATGATCTTTAAGATCCCTTCCAACCTGGGCAATTCTATGTTTCTATGATTCTATGTAGGTTTATATAATGAAAACTAAAAGCTTAAGGTAGAAAGTGGCCCCATCCAAGCTGCAAGTAGCTCCTCTTTCCCATGGTCTGCATGTGTCTCACTGCACAGGCAGACAGAACTGGTGTAGGAGTCATGAAGGCCAGGGCATAAAAAGAGTAGAAACCTCACCTTTCATCTACCTGCTAGATGATGTGTACTGCCACCAAACTCAAGAGTGAAGACTCTCAGATGGAAGAATGTTACATCTCCTCTCAACAACTGCCATAGTAATAGGAATCAGGTAATGTGTTAAATCTAGACTACTGGAGAGAGAACTGTGATTATTCCTTACCCTTTGGAGGACTGTATTTGGAGGAGGAGGTATGGGCATTTACACATGATCAGACATTTGAAATTATTTAGGCTTTCTTTTATAGAGAGAACATATAAATGTGAAAATGTTCTGGAAAAATGCTGTATGGGAATTAAAAAAAAAAAAAAAGAAAAAAGCCACCACAATCTTAACCACAAAGTTATTGCTTTGCATTGTACAGCAATCTGTGGCAAAAGCAATCTTCTTAAATCTGTCACCCAAAGTAGGCAAGTTACTTCCTTTTCTTCCACTTATGAGGACTAGAAAGATGAATACTGTCATACGTAGGGACATGGTTTAGTGGGTGACATTTATAGTAGGGTGATGGTTGGACCCGATGATCTTGAAGGTCTCTTCCAACCTTAATGATCCTATGATTCCTATGATAAAAGTAACAGTGCTCAAATTGAAATTTTTGGTAAAGGAAAGAAAAAATATGCAGTAAGAATTCGCTACCAAGTTAATAACAAAACATTTGCATTTGCAAAAAAATGTAAAATATCAAAATCATTTTATGATCAAACTCCAAGGGTCTAAAATCAGCTACTTTTGAATTGACCTGGATGGGTGAAAGTTGACCTGGATGAGTGAAAGGTTATTTTGTGCACTGTGAGGCATCAGGGTGTTAAAAGAAATAAACATTTCCTACTAAGATTTGTGTATTATAAAGTTTTATATTCTAATTTTAATTAATACTGTTTTCTTCTGTTTAAACATGAGCAATTAATGATACAGGCATTATGAGAGTAAGTCTCACTAAATTAAAAAAAAACAATAAATTCCTGTTTTTGTATATGAGCATTTTATATGACACCTCTTTTGAGGCAGTTATTGGAATAATGATTTTTAAAGTTATTTATTCTTGTTTATTATAATAATAATAATACTATTATTATTATTATTATTATTATTATTATTATTATTATTATTATTGCATTACTATTAGGTACTGATAACAATAAAGGTATGTAAAATGATTGTGAAATAAACTATAATTAAATTGAGCTTTATACATTTTTCCAAAGGTGCTCAAACTGTTCAGTATATTCCTGTGTATTAGCTTGTTTGTGTATTCACTGCTTGAACAGCAGTGGAGAATATTTGTTCCTGCTCTTGTTGATAGCATCTGCTGCTGCTGCTACAGGCATGAATTTAATTTACTGTTGCTATGACCAAATATATTTTACTATGTTAATTTTAATGTTGTATATGGGCACTCTAAAAATGTCCCTATTCCCGTGTCTTTAAACTTTAACAAGTATTTGATTTATACTGACAATATTACTTTTGTAAGGAAATTTTATGTTCCAGTATTGTGGAGAATGTTTTTATATCTAGTTTAGGGGAAAACACTTGTCAGCCATTAGAGAACCAAAACCTTCTATCTGACACTATAGGCTGCAATGAAGAAAATATGATTATTTGCTTCCATAATATTTCTGAATGAACCAAATAAAGATTTCTTCTTTACTACAGATAATCATAATATGTAGGCATCATAACAGGGGAGGCAGTTTTAATCCATTAGAATCTGAAGGTAGTACTTTTAATATTATGCTTTTTGTTTTATCACAGCAAAAGAAAATTAAAAGTGTGTTACAGACTTTCATTTCAGAATACATGGTTGCCAAAAAGAGAAATGTTTTCAAAATACCAGTAGCTTAGCCAGCTTGCAATATAGAGTAGCTAAAAATCAAGGCTAACGTGATAGTGCAGATTCTGCTGCTGTGCATCTCCCTTGTTCTTTTTTACCTTCCATTGCATACAGTCAGGTCCAGTTGAAAACTGTTCACAGCAGACATTTGCTTTTAATTTGCCTGTGACCTTGAGCTTTAATAAAGCATCAAGTTCTCTCTAGGATTAGCCAGAAGGTAAATTCCACCCCATAAATTACAGATTAAACTTCAGTAATATTTGTGTAGCTTTGTTCCTTCTTGGTTTGATTATAAGGCAGTCCAGGTAGAAATAAAAGCTGCAGCCTTAAGGAAAATGGAAATGGAACAGCATGTGTAAGTAACTCTGCTAAGAAACATGACTGCAGACTTGTTCTCTGTTCTCTAGCTGATCCTACAATGCCTCACAAAGCTTCCAAAGGACTAATGGATTCCCAAAGGTAATAAGGAGATATTCAGCCCCTTCTTTCCCTGTTATAAGACCAAAGTACTATTCTTTACTGAAGCTTTAAAAAGTATAGTATATAATGAGACATCGAGAAAATAAATCCTCCTAGACAAAGTGAGAAACCACAAGGAACTCCTCTGTAAGTTTCTGCTTCTTAAAGTTATGGTTACAAATTTTATTAGCAGTAGTCAAATATTCCACAGCTGAAAATCAAGCAAAGATGCAATAATATATCCTGTACCTGGATAATTTTTCTATTTGCTAGAGACTATAACAAAATAAATTACTTGTGGTTTCCATTTTGATACTGGTTGTACTTCATTCATTAGGTAATTACATATTCAGAAAAAAGATGCCAATGAAAGCATTTTACGTATGAACTCTTGCAGGAAATGCTTTGCATAGAGAAAAAATGCTGAACTAGCATATCTGCAAAACATAGGGAAAAGTGACAGATTGCTTTCATAAAGCAGTCACACAGCTTACACTGGCAACTGTTTGATATGCTACTGCAGTATTGATCCAAGAACCACGTCACAATCAATCAGCCTCTCAGAGGACCACAGAATTGCAAATGCTTAACTTAACTAAGCACAGTAAAAAGTTTTATTAAAATAAGAAGTGACTATTTTCAGCTGCAGATACCTCCTACATATTTTTATCCTTTGCTTGAAAGAATAATTATGTGACCTTAATAACACTCTTTACAACTACCAAGATCATAAAACAACTCATTTTGGGAGCTATCCTCTAATAGTAATGTCAAGTCACATCAGAATGGCAAAATGTGCCAAAAAAATCTCATCAACTCTAATTTAATTCTAGGTTTCCTTCAGTATAATAAACCTCTTCTGCACCATTCTACACTGAAAATCAAGATGCAAGATCAGCAGATCAGCAATATGTGTCTACTCTGTCTCTGTACTAATATTTGTTTTATGAGCACCACCTTCAAAACCTTTAATTAGTACTAGGACTTCCTTATATATATAACATAAAGAACCTTATGCTGAGGTTGCTGTGACTCAGTAGAAATGCCTGTGCCTTTATCTAGTAGCAATCAGCGTAGACTTACTGTCCCTTTCTGTTCTCTCACATCCCATTGAACTGTGTTTAAATGGCAGTGGTCTGGTAGAAAGGAGGCTGCAGGGATGGTCTCTGCGAGCAGAGCCCAGCAGCTGCTCCATGGCAGATCAGAGCCAGCTCCAGATGGCTCCAAAGGGGACCCACACCTGGCCAGAGCCAAGCCAGAGAATGATGCTGGTTGGGCTTCTGGGAAAGCAGATTTAAGAAAAGGAAACAAACGAACAAACAAACACTAACAAACAAACAAATCTGCTGTGCAGCAGCAGTTGGGAGAGAGAGGGGTGAGAACCAGCCCTGCAGACCCCAAGGTCACTGCAGGAGGAAGGCAGGAGGTGCTCCAGGCAGGGAGCAGCAGTTCCCCTGCGGTCTGTGGAGAGGCCCCTGGTGGAGCAGTTGGATGTGTCCTGGAGGAGGCTGTGGCCCATGGAGAGCCCCTGCAGGAGCAGGCCTCAGGCCAGAGCTGCAGCCCATGGAGAGGAGCCCACACAGGATCAGGGCTCTGGGGGGAGCTGCCACTCATGGGGGACAAGTGCTGGAGCAGTTTGCTTCTGATGGATGGACCCCGTGGTACAGAGCCATGTGGGAGCAGTTCTTGAAGTGCTACTGCCTGTGTGCAGCCCCTGCAGGCTCAGTTCGGGAAGGATGGCATCCCGTGGGAGGGACCCCACGTGGAGCAGGGGCAGAGAGTTATTGTGAAGGAGCAGCAGAGACAAAGTGTTAGGGACTGACCACAGCCCCAAGTCCCCATTCCCCTGCACTGCTTGGGAGATCCTCCCTATGCTGATCCTGCTTTGTCAGTGATAACTGTTGAGTGCTCTCCCTGTCCTTATCTCAACCCTCAAGCCCTTTCCATAGTATTTTCTTCCCTTTTTCTTTGAGAGGGAGTGAGAGAGCAGTGGTGTTCAGCTTCCTAGCAGAGTAAATCCACCACATCCTTCCCCTCCCATCTTGTTTTATTTCACAAAGAGCAGGCTTGGGCACGTGCCCCAAAACACCATTCAACAGCCTAACTTCAACATAATGTACTGGCCTGGACAAGTCATTCTTTCATGAGTGCACTTGCGTCTTTGTCTCATGGTTTCCCCATCGTGGGTCTGATTTTTGTCAAGAGAGGATAAAATGCAGGTCCTCGGAAGATATTTTGCTGTTAATTCTTCCATGCCTGTGTATTTACATGTGCCTTCTCTGTTATACCATGTGATGTCTTTTTTTTTTTTTTTTCTTTTCTTTTTTAGTGAAACAGCAATAAGTTCATCAATAACTAATCAAAATCTTACCCTGAAAATATAGAAGGAGATGTTCTTCTGTAGATGGCATATATTCCAGCTTGTAACTAAAATGCCAACTGTTGTTTGTAGAAGAAAGATCTATATCTTATCTATAGACTTCAGGAAAAAAAAAAAAGGTTATGAAAAAGCCTCTCTCAGGCATTTTTAAAACTAAATGTTGCATGACATATTGTCTTAAATTAATTTTCAAAGTCCTCTATAAATAATTTTTCTGAGATTTGATTCACCCTGGCAGGTTGGTGCTGTCATTTAAGGTTTCTTGCTGCTTCCTTTCAAGAACAGATCCACAGATCAAGGCGTCATGTGACAGTATAAACTCATTTGAGGACTTACCAGAAATAATGTAAACTGAATTTCAAAGCCTCACACACTGCTGTTATTTTTAATTGAATAGTCAGTAGTGAACTTTCATTAAATGTATATTAATAGAAGAGCTTCTGCTAAAAATGATTGCATGTTTCTCATAAGTAGGTATAAACAGAATAAAAGCAAAATGCTATTAATGTGTATTTAAGTGCTTAACCTAATTCATTGTTCAGAATCAGCATGGTAGAATTACATTTGCATTTGAATACATATTTGGATAAAACATGTGTTTTTTTAAAATAATTGGTTACTTTTGTAAGTGCCAGCTGTGGAGATACATAAACAATAATGTCGTTAACAAGAACTGGACTCCTACAGGCAACCTACCATTTGTGGTCTTAACCACACTGTAGTTTAAATAGCCAAAACACTGGAAACTAACGCAAAGACATGCAGAACATATTGTAAGAAGCTGGACGTCACCAAAGGCTTGATGGTGACTCAGATGATGAGAAGAACTGAAAGCTCCCTTCATGCCTGTAGGGAGTTTTATTCAAATTTGGGTTTAGGCATGCAGCTTCCAGGAGAAACAGGGAGAACTGCAGTCATATTCACAGTGTTCACTGATCAGAGTATCTGTGCAAGCATGCCAATCCAGTGCCCCCTTTTTATAAAAAAAATATGAAAATACTGATGTTTAAAACTTTGAAAACCAAGAAGGTCTTCTGTGTATCTCAGTGTCTGAAGCAAATGTCAGCCTTGTCTACTAAGATGACAGATCTGTCATGAAACTGAAAGACGGTACATTAACCGCATTGCCCAGGAGGTAAGACATCTCTGCTGCTTTGGACCTGTAAAGAGGCAAAAGAGTGTCACCTCAAAGTTCAATCTGAACAACCCCTTTACGGCTTCTGGAAATGCTATAGGAGCCTCAGAATAGCTGGTCAATAACTGGATAGAAGTAAACAGATATTTGATCAAGAGAAATCAGTCCAGTAACAGGTAAATAGGATTTAG